ATAGAGGCACACAGCAACTCCTGACCATGTTTTCATCAACAGCATTGATGAAGTGTTATCCATGAAGTGTCACAACTTGTAATGGACTGTGAGGATAATGCTGAAGAAGAGGAGGAAGAAGAGGAGGAAGATTTCTCTTATCTGACCAAGGCAATGGTCAGATAAATCTGAGGCCAAAGCTAGAATGAGGATGGAGAAAGCATTTCAGATTTGATCCTCCCTAGCATTCTTGTAGAGTGGCAAAAGTCTATTATTGCAATCTTACAGTAAAAGTAGGTTTACTATTCATGGCTTTGATGTTCAAGTCTGGCCTAACTCAAAGGGTTGACATAGTTCCATAGACACACCCATGTAGGGTTGTTGTTTAACAACAGTGCAAGTACTGCTTTCATTTGAGGATGTTTTCTTTGGAACCTCCAGCCTTGAGTTCTCCACCTTCAAATCTACTCATTGTTTTCTAGGATCAGCCAAGGAGTAGATTTTGACAGCTATTACTATTGAAACCAATCTGGATTATGGAGTAATATTTGTGCACGTGTGATAAAGTGTAGCTTCATTTCTTTTGTAATTAATATTTATTAGCTGACTTTAAAAGCACTTGAAATTAAGCTATGGGAATAAAAAAATGGGAAGGAAAAATTAATCTTGATCTCATGTAACAGAAATTTGGGGGGGGGTGCTTCATCCAGATATGATTGGTGTACCAATTATAGCCTTATAAGGATGTTTTGGTATCCATGATCCATGTGTTTAATTATAGACTTGCTGGTCTACTGCAATGCAGTCTTTGTGGGGCTCCCTTTGTAGATAATCCAGAACGATAGCTGGGACAAAGCACGGTAACCAGAGTCCTGGTGAGACAATCTCACCAGTGTAGAATAACATCTATTTTATACTCGTAACACTGACTAGCAGTAGACTTTGAACCCAATTTGAAGTTCTGGTCATTATTTTTAAAGCCTTACATAGCAGAGCATCAAGATATAACAACCAGCACCTTGCCAGAATAGAATCTGTAGGCCCAGTTTAGTCATCACAAGAGAGACTGTTTAAAGTCTGTCCCACTTCCAGATTATATGGGGAGGTAACCAAATGGCAGATCTTGTCATAGTTAGCCCACACATTTTCATAAGCAGGCTAAAACCTATTTCGTTGTGCTGTAAATCCAATTGATTGGGGCACCATAATGTTTTTTTTAAAAATAGGAATGAGAAGTCTATGATATCAGCTGATATCTGTTAAAAATGTGTTTGTTTTTATTCAATTGTTTACTGCCCAGAAGCCTTTGGAAGTGAGGTGGCTTAGCAATATGAAATAAAATTAGTATATGGATAAAATAAAAGGTTATTGAATTTGCACTGATGCTCAAGGTATAGTTTAAACTATTGTTATTTGTGTAAGCCGTTGACACATATAAATTATGAGGAATTCCTTCCTTCTGCTTGCCTGAGCAGTAAACATTGTCCTTTGCCAAGACAAACAGAGCTTTGTTCCTGTGCTGGTTGTGAAGCAATTTCCCATGGTTAAAGCATGTTAACAGGCCCCTGACACTATAGCCAGCTCTGAAACAATGTCAATGTAGCTACAAAGGTCAGCCCTAGGCTGCTATTTCGACAGGAAAAGATTATTGGCCAGAGGCCACAAAGGGCTTTTTACATTATATCCTAATGGGCAGAACCAATTGGAAGCAAAGGAAAGTAGTTGAAAAGTTCATTTTTCCTCTCTATTAGCAATTTCCAATTTTGCGGGGCCCTAGTGAGATGCTCTCAGACCCTTCTCCTGCATATAGTTTTTCTTTTTACTTTTTTCATCTCTACCCACTTATTTACCCTCTCCTTTCAGCCTTAATTTAAAGCAACATTTCTCAACCTCAACAACTTTAAAATTTGTGGACTTCAACTCCCAGAAATCCCCAGTCAGCAACAATGCCTGGGGAATTCTGGGAGTTGAAGTCCACATATCTTAAAGTTGTTGAGGCTGAGAAATACTGCTCTAAAATAATTGCTAAGGAACAGACTAGGAGACCATTGGAGGACTCTGCTTAACTCTTCACAGTCTTTGCATACAAAGTAAAAAATGAGACCAGCAGCCGAACTAGGAGACCAAAAGTCAGCAGGTGATACTTCGGCAGGTGTCTGACAAGTTAATCCATGGTTTCGATCCAGCCAACCTTGGCTATAACCCAGGGGTACTTAACCCAGGGGTACTTAAACAAGTTATGGTGTCTTCAAGGTGTGATCAATAAAGTTGAGATGGTGGCTTGGCTTCAGTGGTGCAGTTGGTTTTCATTTGGGTTAGCTTCCATTAAGTGTTTGTTGTTTGTTGTGTTGTTTATTTTAGCAGATTATGGGCAGATGTTACAGGACAATCACCTTCTACACCAGATCCTAGCTACGTAACACTGCAAATACCAATTCTATCTCTGTACCCAGATAGCACAGCAAGGAGTAGTAAAAATGCCTGTATGTTCCATAGGTATATATGGGATGAGGGGATATTCATCCTCTTTGTAATCAAATATCTCTGCCTCGTTACCTCAGAAGGTCTGTAGCCAGATCCTATGTGAAAAATCAGACATGGGTGACAAGCATGTGGAAAGGAGAAATGGACATTTAAATGGGAGATAAAAATTACATCCCTTTTGCTCTCCTCATTTATGTTTCGAGGGATAACTCAATTCAAACCAAACAAAAACACTACAAAAGCTCAGGGTGGAGGAATTGAGAAAAAAGTAAAATATGGATTACAATATATGGTGTAGAATCTTTTAACTAGAATTCTACCTGGCGTAGTCATAAGAATTATACAGTGTCCCAACAGTCTTAGTGCAGTTTTAAGTTTTTAAAGCTTAAAACTGCACTGACTTTGGGGATATCTTGTATTGTAGTGTTATCCATAACACATTATAAACGCTAATGTGTTGCTACCCTATGAACTGAAAATCTCCACTTCAGCTTTGCACATATTGGTCCTGCTTCTAGTACGTCATGAATATGTAGCCCACTTTGTGAAGAAAATGCATTACCAAGTAGCAGAGTAGCGATAGGGAGAAATCAGGTGCAAACATGTCTAATTCCACATTTTCAAAGCAACACACAACCTGAAATTTAGTTATCATTCAAAATTAATAATTCTCCCAATTATGCAAGCAACACACCACAATAAAAAGGAAAATCTGCACAAAACCCCCTATATATTTGTGTACAAATTTCTATTAGGGAAATTATTTGTAAAAGGTAGATTCACTTGGACAATAGACATATATAAGTAGAACTGTGCACCTAAACTAGTTTTTCCCCCCCTGTATAAACGTCTTTTGGAAGATGAGGAATTTTTAAATTGAACACATCAGACTTGACATACAGTACATGAAAAAATTAAAAATGGAGAAACTGAAATAGGCAAATACACCTTCCTCATGGCAGAGGAAGCAATTCACATTCAGAAAAGAAATCTATTCTTATACAGCTTCTTTCTGCTTCTTCTTATACAGCTTCTTTCTTCCACATCTCATCCACACATTCTGCTACCTTTAAAGTCTCCCCCAACAGGTTTCATTTTAGTTGTATGCCCCTTTCTCCAAGGACCTTTCCTCATCAGCTAGCCAGCTAAGAGATTAATTTGAGACAGACTAAACTCTGAGATCTATGTCAGTGCTCAGTGTTAATACTGGTGAAGGGACTGTTTTGAACACAATCTTCCTTTAATTGTATCCAAAATATCTTCTCCATTTATAGAATAAACAACACACTTCGTTGCGTATTTGGAAGTAGGAAGAGCCATTTTCTATATTCAGACCATTTTTTTCACTAGTGATTTATAATGTTTTCTAGCATCATCCAGCCATCATTGAAGCAATATAAACTCTGTCCTCATTACCATTATATTAGCACAAAGAGAGTTAGGTGATGGTAGAAGCCCTGCTCTTCTTATTTCAGGGATTAGAATCTGCCTGGCAACCTCTAGCTGTACAAAGATTCTGTAGGGAAGTCCATGATAACGTTGCCTAAATGAGGACAAAGGGACATTTAAAAGGAAATGGAAGGCCAGTTAATTTTAGGAGTAATATGAGCATAGGATACTGGGGAAATGCAGCAATCTCATTCCTGATTTTTTGCCTCTTCCTCCCCCAGCTGCATTCATCTGTCAGTGTAAAACTCACCCCACCAAGCCCCCCAGTATCTTGTTGCTTGCTACTGCAGGCATCTTGGTGCAAACACTTGAATGGCAGCCAACAAAGAAGATGGGCAGGCCGGGCAAAATATGTGACACACCAGCGCAGGTGTTTCTTGGATACAAAATCAAGATGCATTCTCAGAACACATACATGCGTTGGCAGGATAGGCAGCTAGCAGTCCAGCAAAGAGAAGCAAAGACTGGGAAGTGAAATCTGTTTACAGCTAGGGAGACTGACTCATTAGTGGTAGGAGGAAGAATAAGATGGAGGAAATCAAGGGAGGAAAAATGATGAAAAGGTAAAGAAGGAGCTCTTTGATGATAATGAAAACTACATATTGCATAAATGTTTAAAATACGGAAGAGGGGGGAGAGAGGTGGAAAAGAAAGATAGACTAACAGATTGATGAATGAGTCATCTAGCCATGAAGGATTATGAATTTAGTATTCGGTGAAGAAATCAAGAGCTGAGGGAAGGAAGACCAGAATTGTTGCTGTGTTTCACAGCATGCCTTCAGGCATTGTTGGGCTACAGCTCCATCATTGGCTGAGTATGATGGGAGTTGTACTCCAGTAAACATTTATGGAGAACCAGTAAAAAAAAAGGTACATAAAGACAGGAGGATTGGAATAAAATAGTTTTAGAGAAAAAGTAAGAGAAAGAAAGACAAGTGTAAGAAAAATGGAAGAGAGATCAATGGACACTTAAGAGAAAGACCACAGGGACCCAGCGCAAAGGCTGAATCAAGGATTTTCATCCTTTGCTAGGGTATCCTATCATACTTGATTTGTTCATTACTCAGTGCCCCCAACACAGGACTGACCTTATGTAGTTTCCACATGGCGCCCAGCGCCTTCACCTCATGACTGGAATGCTTGCCTTCCTCCAGACACTGGTAACAGACAGGCATCTTGCACTGCACACAGTACATGCTGTGATTCTCTAGCTCATGGTCAGTGCAAGTGGAGATCTTGCGTGGACTGAGCCTCCGGCTGACCCGGCCCTGAGCTGGAGGCACCAAACGGTGCTTAGCCAGGGGGCCCCGTGGTGGATGGCAGCGCAGCCGGCATGGGTCACAATAGAAGACGTCGCACTGTTCACACATGACTGTGGCCTCCTTGGGTATCTTCTCACACAGTTGACAGCGCAGAGCAGCTGCTTTGCTTTGCTGGTAACGGTCAATGACACCCTCCAAGACACGGTTCTTGGGAAAACCACGAAGGCCCCGCTCATCCAGAATCAGGCTGCGATGGCACTGCGGGCAGGTGAGGCAGGAATTGCGTGGCACCGGTGCCAATGAGGCAGTGGCTGAAGCCGGTGGGAGATGTGCAGCTGGCGGGACAGTTGGAGGGAAGACACGCACACCATTGGGTGACTTCTGACATGGTGTAGTGGGTGCACTGGCAAAGCCCCCATATGAGCCATAGCCGCTGTCTGCCTCACTGTACAGGCTCATCTTGTCCAGGTCCAGGTAGTCATAGTCGGATGAGGAGCCAGCTGACCCCGAGGCACGTCGGCTCTGAGGCGACTCCGTCTCTGGCGTCTGCACCAGGATGTTTCGGGCACATGCCTGGCACAGGCTGTGTGAACAGGGTAGGATTAGAGGTTCCCGGTAGAAGGAGCCGCATACCGGGCACTTGAGCTCCTCTTCCATCTCTTCCATGGGAGGGGGGGTGTCTCTCGACGCCTTCTAGTCGCGGGTTCAGCGGCCGCCAGTAGGACAGGGGCTGGACAGTGGGCGCGCTTTCAGTACCACGGACAGCGAACCCGCCAAGCGAGCCGCGCTCGTCTCCAGCTTGGCTCACCTCGAGCCAAGCTAGCTAAGCAATGCCAGCTCTGAACTCCTGCAGCCTTCCCACCGCTTCGGGAGCTCCGCCTTCTTGGCTCATCATTGGCCGTTTGCGCCGAGCGCTGAGACGCCATTGGACCACGGCAGTCTCCTAGACCCCCGCCTGCTTTGGGATACTTCGCTTCGCCGGCTTGCTTTTCACCCCCGCCTGCTCCTCTGCATGAATAAGAGACGGGCGGAGGTAACTGCTGTGGAAGGCGGAGAGCGCCTCCGAGCCTGATAGATATCCTCGGACTTGCAATTGGGGATCATGGGGCGGGGGGGGGAGGAGAAGGTGTGTGTGTGTATGTGACAGTGTTTGGGGTAGACAACACGGAGACACTCCTTGCAAATGCCCCGTTCCCTTAAACTAAACAGTTAATTCTTAGTCTCGTTAATAACCGCCTCCCTTTTTCTCCTGCCGGAAATAGAAGATTTAATGGCAACAGCCTTCCTTTTCTGTTTTCTTCCTTCGCACCGGTTGGAATTCAGAAGTACCCCGCCTCTCAAGTAGTTTATCGGAATTCTCAAATTGATAGGATGGGTTGGTCAGAAACACGCAATTCCCAGCCGGAGATTGCTAGCAGCGAATTTTGAGATATTTAATCTAACGTATCTGAAGAGCATCCGGTTGGGGAGATTATATTTCATTTAGAGTTATATTGGATGCTCAATCTTGCTGTCCTTTTCTTTGACACTGTCTAATTTTAAGTATTCAGAATATCCATCATCCATCATAACATTCTAACAAATTATGCCACTGGGTAAAAGATGATCTGATCTATTTGCTGGAAGCCCAACTAGGATTAAAAGAAGGAAACAAAGACAATTCTTGAGTCTTATTTATTCTGCCATTTATTATGTTATATAAACCTCTATCATGTTCTCTCCATACATTTGTCTAAGAGGGCACTCACAGTTCAATAACAGAGGGTACGTTCTGTACATTCAGTCATCCATTCATTTTTCTTTCTCTTGATTGTAATGAACAGAACTGTGCTGAATGCTAAAATACTGAATTTAAATACAGTACATATGCTCAGTACAACATTCCTTATTTCGTGTTCACATGTCTGCTTGATCATTGTTTCCATTTTTTCCAAAGGGAAGGGATAAGGATGTGACATTATTCAGAACAATGCACTTTTCTGTTTACCAGGCTTCCAATCCCTATATCCTAGAAAGGAATTTGAAACCAACCTGCAATTATCTTCATAAACTCAAAAGGCAGAGAAACACACATGAAGCTCAAAAGCAGTATGACTATTCAGGATAATATGTTCCATTACCACCACAAACCTCAGTTGGTCCCCAGCATATATTTTCAACATAACTATGCTAGAGGAAGTAGCATAATTTCAGCAAATGTAATTCTAACCCACTAGTAAGAAATGTAATACAGGAATGATGCAAAGATTTTTAAAAAGTATTTGACAATGTTACTTGTTAAAGGCTCCCAATGCAGCATTGGGAATAATAATAAGACAAATATTCTCATGAACTAGTAAGAGATTTGAGACTAAAAGAGAGAGTAAAAGTACACAGGCAATTTTCACTATGGAAGCATATGTAAAGTGAGGTCAGCTAAGAATTTAGTTTTGAACTAGGTAGTTGCCTTCACAAATAATCTGGAATTGAGTGATCAGTGAGACCAGTCAGCTAGCCAAACTTGTTCATAATGATATTATTGAAGGAGGTAAGAACAAAAAGAGTATTACAAAACTTCCCAAGTTTCTAAAAATAGCAGCATACAAGTTTGAGGTGTTTTTTTAAAAAAACAGGGAACTCAAACTTTTCATGTTTTTTTTCCTAGAAAAAGACATCATTCTAGGCAGCATGAAGGTCCAATAGAAGGGCTTTTGTTTTGTTTTTTAAGAATATAAATTTAGGCTGGTAGATTAGAAAAATTCCAATATGATGGCATTTGGGTATCTGAAACTAAAATCCCCAATAGAATCCACTTTGCAACAGCTGTAACCAAACAATGACTACATCATTGGCAATTTGGACTCTTACATTCAGATCCCAGATCCCATGATTCATACCCCAGTTGTAAAGGACAGCTTTAATTAGTCTAATTGTTTTTTTCCTGCTAGCAGGAAATCCCAATTTCTTCACTCTGGCCTTTTATTTTATTTTATTTTATTATTACCCGCCCATTATTATTTTTATAAATAGCTCAAAGCAGTGAGCTAAATTGATGCTTTAATGAATATAATAGGGAGAAACACATGGTCATTTTTGGCTGGAATCAACTACAAGATCCTGTGTATGTATTATTGAAGTCTCTCTTGAAAACATTATCCTGATGCTCATTTGTAATCATGATTGCTTTTTTTCTAGCTGCATTCTTCCCCTCATTCCAAATCTACCTTTCCTCTGGTGAGAAAAAGAATCATCCCCCCCCCTTCTCTTTTTCTCTCCTGAGGATTGCCTTGATCATTTTTCATCAAACCTGGATAAGAAATGTGGGAGTGTTCTGTTTAACATACAAATTGATTACCAACCTGCCAAGAACTGGGGAAAGCACAGTCTACTCTTTATCTAACCCTTTCTCTTGGCCATATATATCATATAACCCTGAAATTTGCTCCCAGACACACCATCTCAGCAACTTTATTACTTAGCTAAAATAAGGCTTTGGGTCATACAAAATGTTGATTGTTCTTGTTTTGATTATGAAAGCAACAATACTTTTAAATGTGACTGTACTCATTCATTGGTTGGTTGCTAACTCTTCGGAGAGATTCAGGAATGAATGGAAGCTGGAAAGATTTCCTGATTCCTTGGGTATGCAGTTTCTGTTTTGCTTCTTGTTTTCCTTATGTGTCTTGATCTAGAACAGGGATAACAACTTTAAACACTCAAAGAGCCGCAAAGGTCCTAACCGGAACCCCCCGTTCATTTTGGAGCCTGGTTCCCCCCACCATAGAGTGTACTCCTAGTGCGGCATCCTTTTTCCTCTACCTGTCCTAACCGAAAGCCCAATCAATTGTGGAGCTGACCAGCGACAAAGAGCTGCAGCAGAGGGATGAAAGAGCCACATGCGGCTCCAGAGCTGCAGGTTGCTGACCCCTGGTCTAGAAGCAAGATCTTGCTGTTGTGACGGGGCTACTGTATGTCTCCTTTGGTTTTTTGAAGACATAATGGCACACCTTAACATCCTGAGACTCTTTCCATTTTCAAAAGCAACTTTCTGAGCTTTGTGATAAAACAAAAGAATGAAAATTGGTAAACACTGTCTGTGGGCATCTCAATCTTAAATTGATAAAGAAGAAACTTTGGGAACACTCATGTAGGTTTGCTGCACAAAGGATAACAGGACTCTGTTCATTAATTAGATGTGGCAGTAAAGAGGATTAAAAAACACCAACTCAAGGGAACAACCAGTTGGCATACAGCATTTTCTAAGGAAATTATGGATCATACAAATGTTCTGACAGCAGTTTGAGGAGGAAGTGGGTTGAGAACACTTTTGTTGGCAACGAAATGCCAGAAGCAAAAACTCTTTGCACTTTTCATCCTATTGGTCTCTAGAAGGAAAGTGCAAAGATAAGTGACTCCTTTGTTTTTGCTCTGCTTCCCTCTGATTGGAAGTCTGAGACTCTAAGGTTCTTCCCTTTTCCTTCTTTCTTCTCCTATCCTCTGCCACAAAGATTTAATAGAATAATAGTTGGAAGGGACCTTGGAGGTCTTCTAGTCCAACCCCTGCTCAAGCAGGAGGCCTATACCATTTCATACAAATGGTTGCCCAATCTCTTTATAAAAACCTCCAGTGTTGGAGCATCCAAAACTTCTGGAGGCAAGCCGTTCCATTGATTAATTGTTCTTACTGTCAGGGAAGTTCTCCTTAGTTCCAGTTTGGATCTCTCCTTGATAAGTTTCCATCCATATTGATCGTACATTCCCTATTTATCCCATGTTAATAGAGAATAAAGCAAAATATTTTAACATTGAATGCATTGGATTTTTTTTGAACAATGGACCAAACACAGGAAACGTCAAACTGTTTTTAGGCTATGTCCCTGAGAAATTAAGGGAAGGGTGTGAACAAATTTAACCAAATTCCTTGTATTTGTGGGATATCCCCATATTAAAGGTGCCAGTAATGCTAACATGATGTGTGCATGTTTATTATAACTTTCTTATGATGCTTGATGTTGTGTATGATTCTGGCAAAATCTTAATAGAGGTGCAGCCCAAAATACATGGAAAAGGTTAGATTATTTAACTGCAACTGAATGATTATCAAGTTGATGAGACATATGCTATCTATCTATCTATCTATCTATCTATCTATCTATCTATCTATCTATCTATCTGGCTGCTATTCATCTATCCATCTATCCATCTATCCATCTATCCATCTATCCATCTATCCATCTATCCATCTATCCATCTATCCATCTATCCATCTATCTATCCATCCATCCATCCATCCATCCATCCATCCATCCATCCATATCTATCTATCTATCTATCTATCTATCTATCTATCTATCTATCCAGCTAGCTAGCAGGTTTTCAAGTCCCTGCAATTTTCTAGCTTTGTGCCCAAGGCAGGACTAGAAATCAATGTCTCCTGGTTTCTAGCCAGGTGCCTTAACCATTATATCAACGTGGCTCACATTTCTATTACAAAACATATTTTTCTAAATTAATTTTTCTTATTCTTTGGGTCTTTAAATAGTTTTCTTTAGATACTCTTAAAGGGTTGGCATTTCTCAAATATTTATGCTCTGCTAAATACAAACCTTAGTGAATTAACAGAAGGTTCCAATCAAGGTTTCTTCAAAAGTAATTTCTCTGCAATGTTAAACGCATGGAAACTATTTATATAGTAATATGCCACTAGGCTTTGTTGCTTGAGTTGGTCTTTCTTTCAGTTCAGAATAGGATTTTCAGTCCTTTTTTTTATGTATTGCTTTTGTACCACTGCCCTGTCTTGAATTCTGAAATTGGACCACTAAAGGCATTTTTAT